TTTTGTCCTTTATATTTTTCTTTTTGTAATTTCTTATTTACTTGGGAAATTAATGTCATCATACAACTTTTTTGACTTTTCATGACCTGGTCTTGAGATATGATTCTAGAACATTTTATCAAAAAACCAAATTATATTTACCAAATCAAGTTACAAAAAAGACATCTAGATTAAGATCACAACAATCTTCGGATCGTAAATCATTATAAAAGAACTATAATTTATCAGCAAATCAATGAAAGCAATGAATTCAAAAGCATTATTTTTAAGTTGTTCAAATGTCATTTCAGTCAGTGACAGATCTAGGAATTTCTTTCAGAAGTGTCCGATTTTAAATGTTAAATAATAAACTTGTAATTTAAGTCAAAACACTCATTTCATATAAAAATATATTTATTATAAATATAAATATCGAAATGTGCATCATCAAGTTTTTAAAAACTTAGAATCTATAACACCCTCAAACTTAAAAAAAATGAAATTTCATGTATTTATAATTTAAGTTCAACAATTATAATTTATGAAAAAAATAAGTTTTTTTGGTTAAAAAAATTGATATAAATTAAACTTTTGTAGCATATTGCATAGCATTTTTGTTGACGAAAGCTTATCAAACGAACATTTTTTTAAGAAATACAATGAAGTTAAAAATATGTGATTACACAAAAAAAAATAAAAAAAAATCAACATTAAAAAATATAACTATCAAATTAAATACTCGTTTTTATAAATCACTAAATCTATTTATAATTAAGAGACCAAAAGAGTAAAACATTATAAACATTTTTAAAAATTTATCTAGAAATGTAAAATATAAGGATTGTTAGTATATTTTTTCAATAAATAAATAATACTATTGATTTAAATTAAAATAGCATAGAAAATATAATTTTAATTATTAATATGTTATAAATATTTTTTACAAATCTATACATATTGTGTAATTTTTTGTTTATATATGTAAATATAGATACTGATAATATATAATACATTTATAAATATAATATATATATATATATATTATTTTTTAAAAAAATTGGACCCCCTGGGCCCCATGTGTCTCCGTCCTTGATTTCAGTCAATCATGGGAACGGTCAACTCGGCTAACCATTCTAGACAGTGTGGGGGCAAGACTATTGTTTTCTACGGAGATTTCCGACAAATTATTTCAGTAATTTCAAAGGAGAATGCTTCAATTAATGCTTCAACCATTTAGCAAGATTGTACAGTGCTTAGATTAACAAAGAACATGCGTCTTCAGAGCCTTGACGATTCGGATGAACGTGAGACGAGCCGACTACATTTGCTGATTGGATCATTCTACGAAATTATGCAACGAGACACGTTTGATTGAACCAAACTCTCAAGTCATGTCCTCAAATGTAGGATACTTACCGGTGACCACACAGGGGATACCTCGGATGACAATAACTCCTTCAGATGCAAGAACACCTTTTAAGTTTCAAAGAAGGCAATTTCCTATTGTTGTTTCTTATCCAATGACTAATTAACCAGATCAGAATCAATTCTTACTGCACGTTGGTTTATTGCTAAAGAAATCGATTTTCAGTCATGGCAAGTTATATGTTGTTGTCTCGCGCGTCACCAACCGAAAGGGCTTGAGAATCTAATATGTGGTGAACATGACTTGCCGCAAAATCAACCAAAAATATTGTGTACAAAGAAGTTTTTAATAATATATGATTTTTTCATTGTTTGTATTCATTTTATAATATAATGAGATGTTAAATACAAAGAATTATATTTAAAATAAAATCTTAAAAAAGTTACATCGCACGGGCTACGCACTGGTTAGACTTAGGTGGACATTGCTTGTATCTGTGGGCCCAAACACCACTGCCGCAGCCCAAAACGTCCAGTCCGTGAACAAACTACCACCTAACATAAAGCCTTGAATGGGCTGTGTGGAGCGATCCCCCACAGTCCAGGCTCGCCTCAAATGACTTCTCAATACCATGATTCCTTTAGAAAGCATCGTTTATGTTTAAGTTATTAACGAAATGTGTCGCTCGGCATCTTAGTTTGACTCAGACTCGCTAACGATCAATCCGAAGATGAGCTCGAGCTCGTTTAGTTAACAGACAGAAATGTTAAGGCTCAAAATGTGAATTTTTTTATGTAATGTTATATATTTTGGCTCGCTAAAGCTCGAGTTTGACACATCAACATTAATAAATTAGCTGAGTTCAAATTCATTTATTGACTCATTTAGTCAAAAAGTCGAGCTCGGCTCAATTCGACAAGCACTCATGTCCAAGCTCAGATATTGGCGCTCGAGGACTACAACAGCCAATATGGGTATATATAGTACATACCTTCTAATTTAATTT